CCATTATTAGTCTCAAAGTGGGTTCCTCGTCATCGAATTTTAATTTCTTTTCAGTTTAATATTTGTTATTAATTTAAATTCTATTTATCTTGGTTCTGATAGTTTTAATGTAAAGTCTCGTTTGAAATCTATGAGAATTTATTCAATCAAAGTCGAATACTTTGATTGATGTTAGTAACGGTTCAATTTTGTAAATAATAGTTTCATTATAAGTTTACTTACTGGTTATAACTATTACTTTATTACAAGTTACAGCTTTTACACTTGAGAATGATCGCACCAGTGATCGAAACCTGTTATAAAGATAGTATTACTTATTGTAAAAGCTGTAACTTGTGATAAAATATGATCTGTAAATAATATTTTTAATATTTTACGTGTTAGTGTCTTTTTCTTTTCAACTGATTTTTTATTTTACAGTCCTGCAACTATAGAAACGAACATCTACTCAGCTGTTGGAGCAGACGTAAAGGAAGTATGTGTAAAGTGTATCAACTTGTTTGATTATAACAGTCACAGAAAATACAAATCATGACTTGTTAATTAAAACCAAAGATGTAGTTGGTATCTGACGGTTGTTTATATAATATAATGTTATAATTTAACCCTTTAATTACCTACTTGTTTTTATACAGTTTATATCAGCTAGAGTCCAACCACTGAATTACGTTATTTCCTTGTCACAACATTCAGTGTTAACAACTGAACAGAAAATGGATGAACCACTTGTTTTTTATGTAAAATATAAAAAAAGCCCAGTCATAAATTAGTGTTATTGATTACAGTATTGATGTTATTTCTCTTTACTTTTATCTGTGACCCTAATGTTAAATGATTTAATTAACTAATCAATTAGTATTAGTTATATACATGATGAGACATGTATTGTATGACTCATGGCGGCCTAGCAACATGTCCCTAACAATGCTCCCTCTGGTGGTAAATTATGAAATTATGACATCATTGATGACATCCCCCCCTGAAACTGACACGTGTCGACAAAATCCGGTACTATTATGTCATCACCTTTGATGACCTACTCCTCCCTACCCCCTGTTGACGTTTGTTTGTTTGTAATTAAGCACAAAGCTACACAATGGGCTATCTGTGCTCTGCCCACCACTGGTATCGAAACCAGGATTCTAGCGTTGTAAGTCCGCAGACGTACCGCTGTGCCACTGGGGGGCTCCTCCTGTTGACGTGGCATCCTTTTGCCAGTGAAGTGCTGCCCTAACTACTTAGGATTATGATAGACACACTACATAGCCTAATGGATTAGTCCCTCTGTGGGATAGTGGTAAGTTTATAGACATACAGCTTAAAAATCTGGCGTTCGATTCCCGTGGTGGACAGAACAGATAACTCGCTGTGACTTTGATTTGAAAAAACAAAAACAAGATTAATCAATTAAGTCATGTTTTTTATGACCACGCTGTTTTTCTATTCATGTTTCTAAATGAATTTAGACCCGGCATGGCCAGGTGGTTAGGGTGCTCGACTCGCAGTCTGCGGGTCGCGGGTTCGAATCCCCGTCACACCAAACATGCTCGCCCTTTCAGCCGTGGGGGTGTTATAATGTGACGGTCAATCCCATTATTCGTTGGTAAAAGAGTAGCCCAAGAGTTGGCGGTGGGTGGTGATGTCTAGCTGCCTTCCCTCTAGTCTTACACTGCTAAATTAGGGACAGCTAGCGCAAATAGCCCTCGTGTAGCTTTGCGCGAAATTCAAAACAAACTAAATGCGTTTATAATACAAGAACTCGTGAACTAGCAGGCGGAAGTGAAGCCTTGTGTGGTGATGTTGTTCTAACGACGAATTGACGTCGTTATAAAGTTCAGGTGTTTCTGCCAATAACGAGACGATTTACTGTTAATAATGAGTTTTAATGAATTCTTAAAACGTATAACATCTTTTAACAACTGCTTCAATTTGATTGACAAGGATATAAATGTGTGTGTATAAACTAGAAGTACTCGCGTAGGGTCCCCGAAAGTGTTCTGTGTCGAGAGTAAATAAAACCAAAATTAAGAGATACAAATATTTTTATTTCTTGCTTTTAAAGTTCATATGTTATTCTGTGCTGTAGCCTACAGAGTGCATAATTCTTCTCGTGATCCATGGCATACGCACGTTTTACCGACGTCATGACAATATAACTTGCAAAGTTATGCGTCCTTTATGTGACGTCATTCTAGTGTCGACTGACTGACTGACAGATCATACACTACTATAAAGTAGTGCTAGTGGTTAAAATAGGTGACTCCTCCAGGCGGCCTTCGGCCATCTTTCGGGAAAAAAATGATATAAGTATATATGTATGTAAAATTTATATACAAACCTTGTTTTTAACTTTTTAACTTTCAAACGTAACACATCAGCAACTGGACTTCTTCTAATGTATATATTACAGATCATGGAAGAGGTAGCACGTTCTTATCCACTTGGTCGTGGGGGACAACCGGAAGAGGTCGCCACTGCCATCGCTTTTCTCGCTTCTGACGAGGCTTCGTTTATAAGTGGAGAAACCCTTGTGATCGATGGCGCTAGAATCGCCTCTTGCTAATGTCTGCATTATTATTTCTTCAGTAATAAACTTTTTACAGTAAATAAAACATTAGTTGCTGATTATTCCCTTTGATGTGTAGTTATTTGTTGTTTTTATTCACGACATTAGCAGTTTTGTAAACATTTACAAAACCTGAAATCCAGAAGGAGATCCTAAAAATGATTCTTTACTTGGTTATATAAGCCTGTAATTCAGTATTAACAAGTTAAACTTACTGTGGTGTTTTAACCTGTTTCATCCTACATATTGTCTGTCCTAGTGATCGAGTGGGAGTTAAACGTTCTGTCACGTTTCAACTCATCTGAGTTTACTGGTTGACTGTCGTAATCTTTAAGTTACAATTAAACTTACTTCAGTTTTATTCAACTTGTCTAAGCCTATTTGCTGTCTGTTATTCTTATGGAACTGAGGATATCTAAGCCCATTCGCTGTCTGTTATTCTTATGGAACTGAGGATATCTGAGCCTATTTGCTGTCTGTTCTTCTTATGGAACTGAGAATATCTAAGCCTATTTGCTGTTTGTTCTTCTTATGGAACTGAGAATATCTAAGCCTATTTGCTGTCTGTTATTCTTATGGAACTGAGAATATCTAAGCCTATTTGCTGTCTGTTATTCTTATGGAACTGAGAATATCTAAGCCTATTTGCTGTCTGTTATTCTTATGGAACTGAGGATATCTAAGCTATTTGCTGTCTGTTATTCTTATGGAACTGGGGATATCTAAGCCTATTTGCTGTCTGTTATTCTTATGGAACTGAGAATATCTAAGCCTATTTGCTGTCTGTTATTCCTATGGAACTGAAAATATCTAAGCCTATTTGCTGTCTGTTATTCTTATGGAACTGAGAATATCTAAGCCTATTTGCTGTCTGTTATTCCTATGGAACTGGGGATATCTAAGCCTATTTGCTGTCTGTTATTCTTATGGAACTGAGAATATCTAAGCCTATTTGCTGTCTCTTATTCCTATGGAACTGGGGATATCTAAGCCTATTTGCTGTCTGTTATTCTTATGGAACTGAGAATATCTAAGCCTATTTGCTGTCTCTTATTCCTATG